AGAAAAAAGAAAAGCTGTGCTATCCAAGGTCTTTGGGAAAGCCTCCTTGAGAGAAGTGATGCTGGGATGGAAACCTGAAGGATAATAGGCATGAGTTAGGGGAAGACGAGAAGAATGTTCTAGAAAGAACAAACAGCTGCTGTAAAGATCCCAAGGGGCACAAGGGCCTGAGTTCAATTTCCGGTTCCGCCAAAAAAAAAAAAAAAAAAAAGACCCCAAGGCAGGACAGTGTGTGACAAACTTAAAAGGAAGGCAAGTGTATGGGGGTCAAAGATTGAGAGGAATGAACTAGGGGTTATAAACAGCTAGGGGAGGCAGAACTCAGCACAGGGAAAGGTTTAAAGAAATAGGGTACAGCCAAGGAGACAGCTCAGTGGCACAGCACCGGCCTGACAAGTGCAAGGTCCTGAGTTTGAGTCACTGTATAAAAAAAAGGAAATGGGTTATAAGCCAATCAGCATTTTATTGATTAATTGGTATGGTGCTGGAGGTTGAACCCAGAGCTTTATATCTGCTAAAACCCCCCTACTCTACTCCTGAGCTACACCCCCAGCCATAGATCCCTAGATTATCTATCTTCTACCTATTTTGGGACAGCACCTCGCTATGCAGTTCAGACTGGCCTTAAACACACTACACAGTACAGGGTGGCCTCGAACTTGAGGCAATTAATCCTCCTGCCTCAGTCTCCTGAGTGCTGGGATTACAAGCATGCACCACTACACCCAGTCAGTCTAGCATTTGAAAGAGGACCTTCAAACTAGGCATGGTGGTACAGGCTCTGGGAGGCTGAGGCAGAGAGATTACAAATCTGAACCCAGCGTGGGCAACTAAGTGATTTCACAAGACTGCTTCAAAATAAAAAAATAGGGCCAGGGCTACAGCTCAGCGGCATAAGTGCCTGCCTGATAAGTACAAGATCCCAAGTTTGATCTCTGATACTGAAAGGAAAAAAAAAAAAAAAATCACAGTCCTGTCAAAAAAAAAAAAAGGCCTGGGGATATAGCTCAGTGAGAGGCCCTGGGGCTCAATCCTCAGTTCCAACACCACCACCACAAAAAAAAAAAAAAAAATTGCATTAGACATTCTATTTGTGGCCTATAGCCCCACATATGTCCTCAGAAGCTCAGGGATCTCCCCAGAATAAATTCAGGGAGTTCCTTGCCTTTCAAGGTCCCCACTGTCCTCACCTTCTCTCTGGTTTCCCCTGACTCTTTGGGAGTGGTCCGCCATAGACTAATGCTGCCTCCAGGATAGCACTATTGCAAAGCAGGAAAGACAAGTCTGCCCTTCTAGGAAGAAAGCCCCGACCTAAGGTTTTTTTTTTTTTTTAAATGTATTTGGTACAGGGTCTCACTACATACCTCAGACTCGTAGTGATCCTCCTGCCTCACCTTCCCCAGCACTGAGATTATAGGGATGCACCACCATGCTGGGTCTTGGTACTTGGAGCCAGCTCAGTGTGCCTGGGGCAGGGCTGGCAAGGTATGTGGTGCTAGGGATCAAACCCTAGTTCTTGCACTTGCCTAAGCAGGCACTTAGTGCACTGAGCTATCTTGCCAGCCCTAAGGGACTTAATATGTTCCCACCTGCCTGAAACATCAGTGGTACTGTATAGGCATGACTGTCCCATCAGGTGGCTTGTTCAGCATTTATCAGGTGATGGGATTCATTCAGATCAGAGCTGCCTGGCAGCGGCACCATCATGACCACATTAATAAGAAGCCCTCCCCCTGGCATCCACTTACCCCACCCCCCGGATCTGCAGCTGAGGTTGCATCCCAGCCTCCTTAGTCTTCACTGTCTGGTAGGTCACAATGGTACACACGGTGCTGCCTGAGCCCATGTCATAGAACATGACATTCTGTAGAAATATCAAGAGATCTGTCACAGGAAACTTATCAAGGCCAGAGTGCCTGCTTGCATCCAAGGAGCTGCCAAACTCTTAACTTAAAGCTGGACAGCTTCAACATGGATCAGGAGGAGACAAATTTTGTCAAAAGCCAAGTATGCAAACAAATGCATACAGACCAAGTGGCCTTCACTGCATATCTGAACAACAGGCCTCTGGGGCTCACCTGTGCAGTGGTGTTGATATCTTTCCGGCGGAAGACACCATAACTGAGAGCAGTGGCGGTGTTGTCATTGATGAGCTGTAGCACTTTGAGGCCCGCCATGCGGGCAGCCTGCAGTACAGCCCGGCGCTCAGCCTGGTTAAAGAAGGCTGGCACGGTGATGACAGCATCTTTGATGGGCTGCTCTACAGAGGACAAGAACACAGGATCCCACCAGCTCCACACCACTGAACAGAACAGTGATGGTGAACTTTCAGAGCTTTCAATGGTTTAACCAGACTGCTGTAGCATGTGTGCTCTAGGTTTACCACTAATGCCCTAGATGATGGTGTCTAACAGTCACTACTAACACTCTGAACCAGATAGGTCTATTGTCAGAAGGGGCAGTCTTGGACAATGCAGGATGTTAGAGGCCTCCCAACTCTTACCCAATGGATACCATAACATATCCCTAAGTGTAATAACCAATTTTTTGACTAGGGATTGAACTCAGAACCTTGCACTTGCCAAGCAGATGCTTATGCCACCTAGCTATCTCCCTGGCCCCTATATCCAAGTATTTTTAAAGACAGTGTCAAATGTTCCCTAAGAGGTCAAACTATCCCCATTTGAGAATCATCACTATAGATGCTGGGGGAGCTTGGCCATCAGCAGTTCCCACCTTGCCACTCACCTGCAAAATCTTCAGCCAGAGAACGGGAGTAATTAAGAACCATGCCCAGCACTTCCTCAAGTGAGAACTGCAGCTGCCTGAGGGGAACAGAGATACTTAGTGGCCGAGAAAGCCAAAAAGAAAGGTAGGGCAATCGTCCACACATGCCAAGAGGAGCCCAAAAGGGCTAACGAGCCTGCCCTTCCCAACAGAACACTCACGGGCTAATCTTGAAGTGCACCGTCTGCCTCTGAGGATCGAAGTTTAGCTCATGCTCAGGGAAACGAGCCCGATAAAGGGCTACATGAGGGTTATCCACCTGCTTCCCTAGGAGATTCTGGAAGTAGCGCAGTGTAGCCTTTGGGTTCTTGATGGCCTGAAGGTGGTAGACGTGAGCAGTGTTAGTGCTCAGGCTCAGCTTGACTGACTCTAACATCACAGAGACAGATGCAAGAGGGAACAAGCTGGGTCTGCCACTCTGGGAGGGGGGCTGCTGCTCACCATGCTGGCGGCACTGTCTCCAAAGAACCTTTCGTTTTCTTTCAGGGTCACAGTCACTGGGGTTTTTCTTCGAGACTCTCTGAGGAAAAGGGACCCATAATGTGACCCAGGGGCCACCCCACTCAGCAACTAATCACTCAGACGCTAAAGGATGGTAGGCATTATGAGGAACACACACCTGCTTGGTGCCCAGGCTCCCCCACGACACACCCTCGGCACCAGTGCCATCCTTACTTGTTCAAGACAATCTCCATGGGGACTCCAGGTTTGACGATGGCCACCTTCATGGACTCACTGCCCAGATCCACAGACATCACTGCCAATGTGTCTAAAGGGAACACAGCATGGTCAGTTGGCACCCACTTGGCAGGGCTTTCTAGCAAAAGTATATCTTTGGTAGCAAAAGATAACAAAGACTCTAAGGAAAACAAAACCTTGCTCCAGCAACTCTATGAGACTTCTAATGAGAAACCTTACGGCTCTCCCCATCAGTCATTTATTCTTTTGATCTGTCTGCCGGGTACATACCACTCAGTGCCAACAGGTCTGCCAAGAGGATAGCCAGCAAGGTCCAACAGGCAAGCCTCCTTGGCCTCTGCCTTCTGACTGTGGCTGCCATTGTGCCCCTAGGGGAGGGAAACAACACTTGTAACTGGATGTCCAGCATGAAGGAGCCAGACCACATCCCAGCAGGGACAAGCTGTAAGGCTCACACCTACTGCCCTCTCACTTGCTGCACGGCGGCCTACCTTGTCCTCCCTCCCTCCTGATGAATTCCAACCACTCTAATCATCCCCAGAAAGATCTAGAGAAAGGCCCAAACTAAAGAACACAAGTCCTCAACTCCACCACATCGTCAACCAGAGAAGTTAACAGGACAGGAGAAAGGAGACTTGGGCCTTCCACCCACAGCACCGGCTCCTCTCAGACACCCAGGATGGGGCCAGGGATCCCGGGGCCGGCTCCACTAACTCCTCACACCTGCAGCTCCCCTGGTGGCGAGGAAAACCGGGCTGGGCCTGGACGGGAACCGAGAGGTGATGACGTTGAGAGCGGCGGGGATGGAAGAGGGGCCGGCCCGCTCCCCTGCATCCCGTAGGGTGTCCCGCCCACCCCCCTTCCCCATCCCACTCCCTGGCCCCGCTCCCCAGGCAGACGCGGTACTGGGAGCGGTAAGGTTACTCGCCGGGTTAGTATCGAGCACTCGGCGTCCACCTAAGCCTCACCTGACCGAAGCGGCAGAGCAGATCCCAGCTTAGCCCTGCGCGCGGCGGCCGCCCCGGGCTCGAGGCGTGGGGCCCAACGCACCGGCGTCCGTGCGGGCCTCACTCCGGCCGCGACCCGCCCCCGGCTAGCACGCCGCCTTCCTCAGGAACGGTGGCTGGGTCCTCCCCCGGGCGCTCCGGTCTCGGGCCCTGCAGTCCCGGTGATGGGACAACGCGGCGCAGACGTACCCACGCGGCCGGCAGCGCAGCCCCCAGCTCGCGCCCTTCACAACTCCCCCCGGTCTACAAACTGTTACATTAGCCACCCACCTCTCCGCGGCGTCGCTCTCGCCAGCCGGCCCCGGACGCGGCGCGCGCTCATTGGCGCCTCCGCCGCCCGGCCCAGCGCCGCGCG